CGAAATGTGTTCGGTATAACGAGATTTCGTTGTATCGAGGTACTTTTCAATGCATTTTGCTATTGCTAGAGCGAAGAAGATCGTTCGTTATAGCGAGGACTTCATAATATATATAGAGGTTCGTTAAATCGAGGTTCCACTGTATAAGGATTTGAATTATATTGTGTGCATCGATTTTCATCGATTAATCGAGACAATCGATAATAATCATTTAATTATAGAGTGTGTTCAAGTGACGACATCAAATTCTCAAATCCAAAACTAAAGAGCCACTTAAGGTTTTATCCTCATCAGGTATAAGAGGCACTAAATTTATATCTGTTTATAACTTTAATTTCCACCGTCCTTCGTTTGGAAACCAGCATATTTTGAATGTCGGAGTTATGGCGGTGCGTGACATAAAGCTAAGATCGCGTTTGTCGAAAAATATACCGTTACCTCGTGATTTGTAGCCATTTTTAGGGGTTAAAGTATTAGGAGAAGTGCTTGTGTAAATGTTTTTTGGTTCGGGTCAGATAATCAGTCGACTAGATAACCAAAATAAGTTCCAGATGTTTACACTATTTTCCGGCCGCCATATTAGAAGAATAAGGAGGTCCTCCAACATGGCGGCTCCATACAACTGGCTATATAATTTTGCGCGGAATATTTCGACAAATATCTGAACTTTGGGACAACGCACACACCTTAAACTTGGAGAGCTGTCTTCCATATTCATCGTCTATAATACAGTCAAACCTGTATTAAGCGGACCCCATATTAAGCTGACACTCGCTATTAAGCGGACAGCAGTGCAAGTCCCATTTTTCTTTTCCCATGTTCACTGTAAAACATATGTGTCTTCAACGGACTATTAAGCGGACGCGGACAGATTAAACTTGACTTTTATGGTCATTTCTATTGTTAGAAACCTGTATCAAACGGGCACTGCAAAAAGAATGCATGATTTTTTTGGTCCACGTTTTAGTACTGATCGGTCATTTAAGTTTGCCAACAAACTGAGCTGTCACAAAAATGCAATAGTTTGTTATTCGGTTTTTTTTATAGAACTTTTGTTCTTGTTTGATTTTGTGAGCCTTCACGTGATTCGATCAATATAGATACTGTTACTGTATACGTATATCGCTTTACCTCATGTACTTGTCATTTTTTATGAAAATACGGTATTTCAGAGTTATCGCTCGTTCACGTGAATGCTATTTGTCCCTTTGAAGGTCTTTTAATTCTGACCAATATTGATACGACCCTCTTAAGACGAATTCTGAGGGAACCTGTTTTCAGCGGACACCCTGTATTAAACGGACACAAGCAAGGGTCCCGAGGGTGTCCGCGTACTACAGGTTTGAGTGTATCACAATTTCTTGACTTTATCCACTGAATGGTTTTTGATTTTACTTTTTATTGCGTGAAAATTAACACACTATAATCGATTGACTTCCAATGGTCGATTTAATTTTCATCGATTGCCTGAACTCAGTTTACGTAGGTTTCGGAAGAGTATTATAGAAGTAAATTTAGTATTTTGG